AATACTTTATAATTTCTTAATTGAAAAATGAAAACTGGTAATTATAATATGCATTTGACGTAGGAAGAAAAGCAAATCATAATACCTTGAAATATAGATAAATCAATGAATTAAAAAATTATTTTTATATTCAGCGTTCAAAAAGTTCAGTTTCAAATGTCAATTTCCATTTAAAAGAATCGATCTTTTTTCTCGTTCTGTATGAATAGTAGCGTGAAGATTTATATATTTGAACAGTAACAGATCTCAGTGTATTAGAATTTACAGCTTCATTAATATTTGCTATATAAAGATTTATTAATTTTTTTTTAATTATTTAAATTTTTAATTGAAATTCCCTAAATTTATTTGAAATATTTCAATGGACCTCTGGACAGTCTTTTCAAACTCTGTATAAAGAGAACTAATTTATACTGCTTTCTCGTGCGCCGCAATATTTAATATTTATATTCCTTAATAAGCATTGCCAGTCTTATATAAATGATTAAAAACATAAAAAAAATAGAAAAATATAACGATCAATAGTCCTAAAAAGATAATTAATTATTTTTAACTGTTTATAAATTGTGAGTATCAATAAATGAATAAATTAAATGGATATTCGATGAAGCTGTTTAATATAAATACACAGTTACTAATAATAAGAAAAAACTGTTTAATTTCAGTTTTATTATTTATATACGATTTTAAATGTATATATTTCAGCCAACAAAAAAGTCCTTTTTTTTAAAACAATTATTAGAAATTTTCATTAATTAACAATCAATCTATGAAATTCTGTCTGCATGACTTTTAATAGAGCATTCTAAAAATAACGTACCAACTAGTTTGTACTTTTATAACTATAATCTATGAGCATTAATATTGGGTAACTAGTTCTATTATTGGATAGCAGCATACTATCATAATTTTATCAAAATCCGAGAGCCGAAAGAAAGTCACTTTTCATACATAAGTATTATATTACAATATAAATTATAATGATAGGTAAATTTTATTAAATGTATTAATAATTTTATAAATTATTGATCAATATAATACATTAATAATACTACAAATATTCATAAATTATTACAATAAATTATTACTTAATTATTTTGATATAAAATAAATTTAAATTAAACTTAAATAATACTTCGTGATATTCAGAGAATTTTAAATATTTTTATATAATTTTACCTTAATTAAATATAAATATAAATATTTTGTGCTGTATTAGGTTATAATTCCGTTAATATTAATATATATTAAAGCATTTATTGAAAATATTTATTATTTTGATTATTAAAACATCTCAGAAATTATTAGACATAAAATTTGAGCAACATTTATTTCAAATTACTAGATATATATATATATATATATATATTCATACCGATCTTAAAACAAAATTTTTTTAACAAAATCAAATGCTGAAAGTTATGAAAATCAGAAACATTATAACATCTCTTTATAACATCTGTTAATGAATTTTAAGTTGTATGCGAATATATCTATTTCTTTTTAATTTTACATACAGAAAACAATTTAATTTAGAATAAGTAATAAAAAGGAAAACTTATATTGTTATAAATTTCAATTCAATTTGATTTATTTTAAAGTGATATAGATTTATAAAACTTAAATAATATATGAATAATAAACTTTCATTTAATAAAACACGCATATAAAGGTATATCACTAATAAATTTAATAGTATAATATTGCATCTTTTAATAAAATTTTTTGCAATTTTATTTTAAGTACATAACACATTTGAAGATCCAATAATGCGTTACACTTTTCTAACGTCAATCATATTTGTATTTGATAATTATAAAACTTTTGTTTAGTAATAACCATTTGAATTATATCTCTGTTTCTTTCATTAATTTTATAATAAAAAAACTTGTAATTATTAGAGTTTCCAACTTTTATTTTACAATTACATTGCTTATTCTTTCAAAAACAAAATAAAATAAACATTTTTACAAAAACGAAATTGATTGTCAAATCACTATTAATGGCACATAATTATTATAAAAAATTAAGCAAATAATTAAAATTATTTATTATTAAAATTTAAACTGAACTATGATACAATCTAAGAAAATTAATTATTTTTTAATTAATTTAAATATTGATAATATTTTAATAATAGTTTTATAAAATTATAAAATTGTTTAATAAAATTATATAATAAAAATGTTAATAATTATAATAATAATATAACACATTAATATCTAACATCTCAAAATTTATTTTTCATGTACATTATAATTGCTCACAGTTAAACAAACAACCAATGCTATAGAATCTCGCTTGGTGAAATTTAATATTGAAAATATTTTGAACACTCCACGAAATTCGATAAAAGTCGATCAAAACGGCAATTAAATATCATGGATATGTTTCGGTATAACAAAAATTATTTTGTATTATTGAATTATTGAATTGGAGAAAGTGTAAAATATTTGACCGAACTATCAGGTCAATTTTATTAAGCGAATTTAATTAAATTTAAGCTATGTGCAAATTCATTGAAATATTTTCTTTATTTATACTATTCAATTAAATTTTATTCATGCATAACTCAGCTGCTATAATTTCAAAATTCATCGAATATGCTCTAAGCAATATTATTTTACTATGTAAATTTTTTATGTGACTTTTTAAATAACAATTTAAGATGAACAGATTTATTTATAATTTGAATGATTAATATAAAGTAAACTTTTACAGTAACGTAAAATATACATGTGAGAAATTCAAATCCTGAGAAAAGTCAACCATATAATTGATTATTTATCCATGATATACATAAATAAGAACATTAAGTCATGATATATATTCATTGTTCACAAATATTAAGATTTACATATATTTTTATGTATATGTATTTCTATAAATTTTTTTATTGTTACTTTATATATAATAAAAAAATCCACCGATAATTAATACATTTTGACAATTTATTTTGTAACTATAATTAAACAATACTTTAAAACCTATTATATATTGTAGTTAAATAATTTAGAAAATTGCAATCTCTCCAGTAGAAAAATTCTTTTGAATTAATATTAATGAAATTTCAAACGCCCTTTTCGAGAAAAAAACATGCTTTTCTACTTAAACTTACGGCTTTTGAACAGTTTTGACTGGGCTAATTAAAAATTTTATGTAATTTTTTTAGGTAATACTCAAAGTTACATATTTATTTAATTAATGTTACCAATGTATAATCTACGTATTCAAGTTATAACTTCAGGTATTTCTAATATTATTGAACGATATGTTATTCATATTTGGATTATTTGAAAAAAAATGTCAGTAATATTTACAAACATGTGATGAGAATAATAATTGACAATATGTATTCTGATATACATAAGAAACAAATTCAGAATTGATTGATAAATTCTTTATTTGTATAAAAATTAAAAAATTATAAAATAAATAATAAAATAATAATAAAATAAAATAATTTCATTATTTGATCACATCAAAACTGTTAATATTTTGTTTTATAAGAAAATTAAGCCAGTGCAATAATTAATAAAAAAATTAATTTTCCGTTTTTCCTAACATCTTAATAATCTAAAATTTTGTGAATGCTCAATCAGCAATAATACTTTCAATTTAAATTACATTATACTTATATATACATTATAATTATTATATCCTTAAAACAAATTTATTAATTAATATTTACTTTAACGAATACCAATTTATTATAATTGAATGTAATAGAAATAATTAAATGGAATACAATTTAAAATATGTAATTCTTTGTAGTTTTAATCTTTAAAATATGAAATTATATAATTAGTGATACAGAATCTATTACATGTTGAATTATATTTTTCAAGTCATGATGTAAAAATTATACTTTTATATGTAAAAGGTAACATTAATAATAACATTTATTGTTTAACAATGTTAAAGAAGATAAAAAATTAATTTTATTCATATATTTGGATTTTCTACAGAAAAAATTTGTTCTTAATCTTTAAAAACTCCAAAGGGCTTTATGAGCATAAATTATGTCGTTTTATAAATTTTCTAATTGTTATGATTTAAATATATTTTTTTATACAATGCATAAAGTTTTCATTATATCATAAGAATATATTATAGGAATAAAAAACAAATTATTGTCATGTAATGCATATATGCGATATGTTTCTTTATGAATCAATAGATAGATGAGATATTGTTCTTTAAAACTATATCATTTTGAATTCTTCTAATTTAATATTAAAATAAATTAAAATAATTGATTCACTGAACATACTTTTCGTTCTAAGATATGAAAGAAATTTTTGTGGTTCATGAACTTTTTTAAAAAATTAAAAATAAAATTATTACATTACTAACACACTTCTAACCTTGAATTTTGAAATTACTCTATCTTTTCAATTTTATAAGTAGAAACTTCGCAGACGATGATGTCGTTGACGCTATTCGTTAGATAAACGCATACGTATATGTAAACCATCAAAAGATTTGGTTTATGAGAATTTTGTTTAAATGAAACAGACTGGCTTTAGTCATTAACATATAGCTAGAGTTTCAAAAGAAACAAGACATTTATATTTAATATAACATTTAACGTATTTTTTTAACGATGAGTAAACATTTTTTAAATTATAAAATTATTGAATATTATTTTTTTTTTAAAACAAATTTAATTTTTCTTCATTTTCATAAATTCATTACATTTAAAGAATTATTTTACAATTCATAATTGCATTATGTTTACGTTAGAATATTTAACTATGATTTAGTATATTATTATTAATTTTGATTTATTCGTTAATCTAATTTTAGAATAATTTGGCAAATTTCTTATAAGCAATTAATGAATACAATTTAGAAACAAATGTAGATTTTAAATCATTTTTATTTTACAATTACAATTGTATGAAAATTAAGTAAACTATTCTTTGAATTTTATATGACGTTATAATAGAAACAACAGTTATTTAATCATAAAAATGAAAAATTGCTACTCATTTTTTTAATAATATTTCAATTATAAAATAAAATCGTTCTTACCTTTACATTTAACACCCACTTTACCCGTACCCCAGATATAATCTTCACCTACAAAATTAAATTTCATTTTTATAATAGATATTTTTTAATATTATTGCATATTCTTTTTAAAATAACATTTACTCACAATAAGCACACAATACCGGACTAACAAAATATATGTGTTCAAGCACGTGATTCCTAGAAGATTCTTCTGTGTTTGTCTGAACCACATAAGCTGAAATAGAAAATATAAAAGTAAATAAAGAATAATAATTTTTACTTTTCAAGAATAAAAAAATCAATTAATCAATCAAATACGTTAAAACAAATACAACATAAATTTTACTTATGACGGATATATTGCGTATATAATTATTTGAAATATTAAGTTTTCTTACCAAACGGTCCAGTGTTAAGAGTTACATATGACGATTCATCTTCTTTATGAGAGTCACGATACGATAATGGATTTCCTTTCAGCATTAGGAATTCCTCTGATGTACCTCTAGAAAATATAAAATAACTTATTAAAGCTCTTTTTAAAAGAATTTTAAAAAGTATGATTTAAACTTACCAGGTACAAAGATGGCTCTAAATTATCGTTTTTCTTTTTTATCTTCCTTATAATAAAAAAAATTCTAATGAATTAGCGCATTTCTATATAAAAGTGAATTTTTTAAAAATTATTCGATTATTTTTGTATAAAGCATGTTATAGGCCTTTCTATTTTAAAATTACGGTACGCCAATGAATTTTCATTTCTATATCTATACAATCAACTGTTTGGCAAAATTCTGTAAGGATTATACTTTTTAATTTCATTGGATAGCTTAATAATTATCAGCTTGCTTTTATCAATTATATAAATTTATAACACTGTGTATATTCTTGTGTAATCGTGTCAGTTATCGGTAATGCTGAAAATAATCATTTTATTTTAATACAATATTTTGAAGTATTAAACATATTTTATCGAAAGTATATAATATTCAAATAAAAATTTTGATCTTGATAAAATAAAAAAGACAATCTAAGAAAGATAATAAAAAATAATAAAGCTTCTTAAATAACAAATTTGAAAGATTTACTTTATTTTATTAGTAAAAGAAAAATATATTCAATCACAGTCATTCCATCGTGATTACAAAATTAAAAAATAAAATAAAAAAAAATCATTTCTATAACAAATTAAACGTGTTTAAAAAAGTGTTCATATATTTTATATATTCTATCAAACTGATAATATATAAAACACATTATTACCGTACTTTATAAAATTTCATCAAAACCTTAATGATAATAGTTTTTTAATTAACATATATTATAATGTACAATCTACAATTAAATAAATTATTTATCAATAACAAGCTTATATGATGTGGTTACCTACCAAGATTTGTATAGTTTGCCAAAAATTCTGTTACAAAATTATTTATCAATTACGTATCAAATAACTGTTTTGTGGTAAAAAAATTATTAACTTAATTGTAATTAATAATTCCTTTAAAATATTGTATTCCACCATATGTTTGTTACTAACAAAATTATAAATCGAAGTCCATCCATATATTAATCATGATCATCACTTTTTAAATGTTTTCAATGTCTCTTCGATGATCATTTCATCTACTACATTTCTTTTTATTATACTTCATGATAATTAACTCCAATTACAACTGCAATAAAAAATTGTATTTATATCTTTTAACAAAATGGAATAAGTAAAACTAATGAGAAACAAAATGAAACAGGTAATACAGATTTGAAATATGACAATAAATATTTAATTTTATTCTTTTTCAAATTTTGAATGTTATCAAACTAAAGAAAACATTGAACAATAAAAAATTAAAAAGAATTTACATAAAATAATAATGATCATAATTTTTCTTTACAAAGTAGGAAAGAATCCCTTGGAATATTTAGTTTATCCAAATGAAATGTTAGATGAGTTTTAATGTACATACAAAAATAAAGATCGCAAATTTATAAGAAAAAGAATTAGTGAAATAAAGCTTATAAGAGAGCTAACCTCTCATTTTCTTGGATCTTGGATTTTTCATCTTTGCTTTCCGTAATCTTTGGATAAAGAAAAGTTACCATATACTCGTACCTTTCTACCTTAGCGATATGTATATAAAGCGCGTATATACGCGTGTAACATAGGCGCAAAGACGCTTATTATTTTCCTTCCCCAGTCCTCTTTCTCTTCTCCTTCATACGCAAATAATTTTTCACTTTTTGCACGTCGTATATTTGCTCCGCGATCATTCACGGCGCACACGTCGCAATGCTCTTTCCGGAGTAAATGAGAAAAAACGAGAAAAAGCGCACGGTGATACGGACATCGGTTACGGGAAAAAAAACCACTTTACTTGGGCATTACCAATATCAGCACCCTCGCGATGCCACCTAACCGTAGGAAAATGTCACAAATAGTCCTGTGTGCCGGCAACAGTGCTGCAGTGAGTGCAAAGTCGGCCGCCAAAAAGTACAAACCATACAGGAGAAGGGGAGAATCCTGTTGTGCTCGTAACACTTATCTCGGTGCTTTGCCCTTCGCGCACACGCGTATTTTACTTGCTGAAAAGTCGACGTATAGGCGCTCGGGCGATTCATCGACCGAAAATTACATGCCAGTTTACAATCGCAAAATATCCGTGCGTGCATGTATTACTCAAGTGCACAATTTTTTAATATCACTAACCGACGACGACCAATACCTAATGTAGGCTGGCACTTTTCTGTTTATAAGACATGATAAACGCTGCTTTGGATGGGCCTAGAAAAATACTGTGTTAGAAGTAGTAAATTATTCTGCGCATGCGTACTTTGAATTACATTGTATTTTATTTTTATTTACAGTGGTGTACGACAATTTCTGATGCTGATTGGTATATTTTTTATGTATATACATTGCTCTGATGTTTCGCGGCGTTCCATTGCTGTAGTATAATAACGCCACTGATAAATACATTTTAATTGTTAATATTATCTACGAGGATATTATAAAGATTAACGCCCACGCTCTGGAAATAACTGTTATGAGAAAATGAAATTCGCTTCTTTGGAAATAGTAAATAAATTGAAAGAAACCGCATTTGCCGTGTACTTTAACATTTGGTATAACAGTACCATTTTGTAGAACAAATAGTTTGAACAAAACGATGTATTTTTTTACGATTTTCGAATGTATGTAAAATATAAACATACTATGATTAAATATAATATGCGATTAAAACATGAAGTTTTTTTTTTTTTTTTGGCAAATATTTTATATAAACCTGCGTACTATTTAAATATGGTATGCATCATTATAGATTTTTATAAATTGTTTTTCACTTATAATATGTTTAGTCTACATAATGGGAAACAATTTTTAATAGAAAAACATTAAAACTAATTAAAACTATTTGAAAACATTTTTAAATTAACATTATAAGTTCGATGACACATTTCGAAAAAAGTAAAGTTATATTTAAAGAATAGTAATAATTATGATAATTATATTAATAAACAGTATAGTAATTATAATATTATATGCATATAATTGAGTACTAAGTCCTATAGCTAGTAATGAAAACACATTTTTGTATTAAAAATAAATTTATAATGAATTTACTCCAAGAGTTCGTTAATATTTGAATGTTTATCATAATGTAAGATTTGGTAAGCCATCTGAAATATGAATCAATTTTGTATTCAAATGGGATAAAAATTCAAATTATTCAATTTTTTAGAGTTTTTATGAATATACCTATTTTTTCATTTCGCTATATATTGTGTTTTTTACTCCTTCTTTTAAATAACAAATATTGTATCGTAGCTATTCTGTATTTCATCTTTTTGAGTGACTAGTAGTACTCACCTATTTATTAAGCGATAGTGATGAAGTAATGAATTTATGTTGTATCTATTATGACGAATTAATATAAAAACGTATATTAATAATGTATAACGATTCAAAAACTTAAAAATTTACTTTAAACCCGTTGTTTTTTACTTTTTGTCTTACAATTAATTAAATCCGTTTAAACTTCATTCAATCATTAAATTCATTAAATTCATTCGATCGTATTGACTTTTAGGCTGTTTTTTTTTAAATACAACAGTTGATTAACGTATAAAATTCATTTTTACTTATTTCAATTTAATGGTATTAATTAATATTGAATTAATGATGCAAAATTACAGTAACACCTTTAATCTTTTATCGTATGAAGTAGATATGCATAACTATATTCCAAAATTATTAAAATAAATACATAATTATTGGCTTAAATGCATTTAATTCGAACAAATATTTCAAGCAAATATTACTTTAGAATAATTCCGTATTTTAAATTTCCTTACTTTATAATTTATGTTATCAGAAATTTCTCAGGAATTGAAATGTATATTATTCTATACAACCAAAATATTAATATAGAATATATTTATTAATTTGATGTACAAATTTATTTTAATAATTACTATTTTTCATAAATACGTTTTCAATGGATTTTATATTAGAGAAATATTAATTAAACAAACAGTATCCACTAAAAAAATTATAATAATTTTTAATTTTCTTATACGTTTTATGATCAGAATCAAAAAGTTTAAATATTCATACATATTCAAGATTTCAATTCAAGTAATTTAAGTTAGAAGAAACTAAAGTTTTATACACACACTACGTGACGTATAAAATTTAATTTATGGCAAGTTCTTGCAATTTAATATTAAAAAAATAAAAATTCCTTAAAGATATTTCTTTAATAATTATATAACATATAACATATACTATGAATATAATTGTGTATTATTTTAATAATGATAGTTTCTATAATTTATTTCCTAAGATTACGTAAATAAAATCGATAGATCAAACAGTATGATTGATAATATATTTTTAATATTGCTATAAATAATATTACCGAGTAAATAAATTATCTAACTAAGTACATATTGAAAGTTGATATTAAATTATTATTAAAGGAGAAAATTATATAGAGATTATTTACAACTCCAATGTTGTAATTATAATCCATTAGTAGTTCCATTTATGATTTCTAGGTCAGAAAAAATAATTTATTTTATCTTTACCAGTAACTTATTTTTAAACATATATTCGGTTGTATTTAATATTCTCCAATTATCAGAGTAAAACATTAATTAAAGTCGCATAACCGTGAGTTATGTTTCTAATCACAATATTAAAAAAGTATTTTAATATACTTATGACTTTTGTATATATTTGATAAGATAAAACCTTTTATTTTTAGATTTATGAATAAATTTTATTGTATTTTAATTTAAAAAATATGGTTATCAGAACTGAACTTTACTAATAATGATAATGTCTGCTTTTAAAGGATTTTTTATTTTAAATTAAAATTAGTGTTGATTAAATCGTATTTCAATTTTAAAGAATTATTTTGTAATACATAGAAAATGAATACATGTAACAATATTTCTATTTAATACTTATTTAATTATATTTAATAATTATGTAGTCGATAATACAGAATTTCAATAAATAAAATGATAATACTTATTAATATTCCCAGTCCCCAAATAAATAAAATTGGTATAACTTCTAAAATACTTATTTGATTCGCTTTGGATTTAATTTCTGGATCATATTGAAAGAAGATATATTCTTTAAGCCTATTGATTATTCCTTTATCTCGTAGATTAAGAATGCTGTAAAAAACAAATAAAGACTATTATTAATAAAGTCTCATCGATGTTGAAACAAAAAATTATAATTATTAGTAAAAATATTAAAATTTACTAAAAATTGTACGATTTGTTTTATAATAGAACCATCGTCATTTCATAAACTTTAATATCTAATGAAAACTCAAACTTGAATAACAAAAATTCAAAAGAATATTATGTTAATTATAGACATCATTTAATATTTAATCGATATGATTCATTTAGTGTATAATAAAATATTTATTTCTTATTGTTTATGTACAAAAAAATTATTTTTGCATAATAATTTTAATTAATTCGCTTAATATGTATATAAATATATGTAATCAGAGAAATTTCGTTTCGGATATAAATATTGTTTTTAACATATTATTATTACATATTATTTAAATTAAATCTACTTTGTTAAATATTTACAGTTAGTATATAAATTATATTTATATACTATTTATATAAAGATTTAATCATTACTAAATTTGTAGTAGAAGCATTGATATAACTTTATATGATTAATTTCCAAATTTATAAATTTATTATTTTATTAATAATAATTTTTTATCGAAAATTAGTTATACATTTATGGAATATAATAAATATTTCAAGAGTATTTTTTATAACGCTTAAAAGAAAATGTATAATTTTTTTCTAAAGTTCTAATTTTCTTTATAAAGTATAAATTTTGAAAAAATTATGTAGAAAACTTGCAGTTTATAATATTTTTAGATATATCAAGTACAGGATACTTGGAATACACTGTTTATCAACAAAATAATAAAAAAGTTTTAATAGAGTTAGTATGCATTTATTACAAAATTTATGCAACCTTACACGGTTAACTTGAATTTGAACGAATGTCACTAATAAAATATTGATATTTATTCGTAATTATAAATTATTTAATTCTTCAAAGTTTTTTCGCATAAACTGTCACTGTTTTGGCTTGTCTATTACTACGGTACAAGTCATAAGTGGTCAAAGCATACTTCATAAATTGTTTTTACTAATTATGTTTTAAATTTTATGAACTCGATATTATTTTTTATTCTTGAATAGTTTTGTAAATTGTCAATTTTGATAATCACATCTTACGCACTAGTAATTAAGCATTTTTGTGTAGGGGCTGTATTTTGATAAACCAAGCGAGACTTGAGTGATTCGTGGTACAGTCAACCCTGCAACGGGACAGGGACTTAAGATTTTCAAGCTTCTGAGATCAATCTCGTATGTATAAAATGCCACATTATTAGTGCATACCTATATAAACAAAAAAGAAATTTAATTTGATGCAAAGAATCTCATGAATTCAATACAACAATTGTAAATCTAATAAGAACAATAATTATACCATTAATACGTACCTCATTAAATGCCTCGATTAATCCAATAGGTAATTTCCAGTAGTTCACCATTTGATCTTTAAGTGGTAATAGTAGGGGATCATCCGAGTTCTGTTTGTTATAGATTTCATTTTCTATTTTTTATTACGCCAATCAAAGTACTCGTATCAAATAATATATCTTATATATATTATTTTAATTTTAGGAATACAACTTTAAAACTTTAAACGAGCAATTCCACGAATATTAATATATATTATCAAATGGTTCTTTTATTTATAGATGAAATGAATTTTGAATACGTTATTATATGAATAGTTCTTTTGGAGTTGTAAATTCTTTTAATTGAATTCTCTTTTAATTTAAATTTCTTATCGAAAACTTAAAATGCTTTTTTGATCTAATCTATCATAATTAAAAGCTAATACAAATTTACATAATGTAAAACAAATTTCTAAATTAATTGTAACAAATTCTCGTGATACATTATATATATAAATAATTTTAATAATATAAAAATAAACAAAATTCCTTGAATTTTTAAATCCAAGTTACTGCTTAAGCGATTAATATATACTGTTAGAAAAATAAACTTACAATATCATCGTGCTCTTTAGTACCCCGAATGACGACTACTTTATAAGAGATGTCTCTTATAAACTCATCATATGAATTATATGGCAGCTCTATATTTACCATAGTTAAATAACTGGTTATTGAAGCCGAATAAATTGAATTAAGGATTAAAGATAATATCATTAACGTGAAATACAGAATCTGTGTCGATTTTTTGAATGGTGGTGTATCTGATTAAAAGTGAACATTATATTATTTATAAATTTCAGAAAAATTCGACACTTAAAAATTATATAACTATATAAAATAAATACACCTACAAATTATAAGATTTATATTGACTATTCATACAAAATATTTAAGTATATCAATTATAAAAGAACTAATTAATAAACAATTGTTTTTAAGTCTCTATCTATAAAATTTAAATTCTAACTTTTATTATTTTTATTTTCGTATGTTGCATAACATTTTATAAAAATAAAAAAAATATCTATCGAACAATAAATTAAATTTTTATAAATATCTTAAAATTGTTGGAATTTTAGTCAGCTAAAAATCTTTTCATTCAATTTTAATCTAATGGAAAAAAAGTACAAAAAATATTTTATTTTAATTTTTCTTTAGTAGTGACGTAAATATATATAATTTGCTATGAATATTATCACTTATTAAGCATATATTATTAAAATATATTTATATAAAATAGTATAATTTATATAAAATAAGTACTTCAAAAGATAATAACTTTGTTATAGCTGTATTAAAAAAAGCACATGTACATAATAGTTTGGATAATTTACGTTCATACAAAAAGGTAAAATCAGATTTGACAGATTTATTGATAGATATATTGTATTTCTTGAACATTGAAAAGAAACGATCTATTTCATTAAAAACTACAAACTTTCAAAGCAATAGAAATCAAATCTATTAATCCATTTAATGGATAAATACACTACTCAAAAAACATCCATATTCTGAACTACAAAATATAAATTAGAACAAGTTTTTTATATTCTTCCTATGGACATTTTGATCAAGGACTCATCAAATAGTGACAAAATAAAATAATAAAAATTCGTTTGACTGTATATATATATTTTATTATCATTTCAGAATCATATAAGATGTATATGAAAGTAAAAAAATTCTTTACTTATCACTGAACTAAGTATAACCATTTTTATTTACAAAAGATATTTCATATCATAGAATAGAACTTAAACACAAATATCTAATTTTTGTTAAATATTTACATTCAAATAATAACAGTATTGTATAATTATAAAGAATTCTTTTAGGGAATTATTAAATGCTTATTAAATGAAGATTACCTGAAAATCCTTGTTGACAAAAAATACTCCAAACGCTAGTTAAAACTTCGAAAAATGAATTAAAATCCATATTAACCTTTTCACTTTTCGTTAGTACTAATAATGTCGTCGATAGCAATATCATTAATGCCATTAGAATCCAAGTATACTTGTTAAAAACCTGTAAAATTCATCTATATCATTAAATTTTCTCTTTTTAGTTAATTCCTGTACAAGTAAAAATAACATTAATACAATATATATTTACATATATATTGATCGAAATTTAATTAAATTACATAATAACTATTTTAATGTAAATTGTATACTTTGCATCTCATTTGATTTATTTATACTTCACACGAAATATTTTTTCTATTAATTTTTTACAACTCTATAAAGAAACAAATTCTTTCAACTCTATAACGTTATTTTCATTTTAATAAGTAAATCAGTGAAGTACATGAAATATTTACGAATAAACTTGGGTTTCAAATATGTAAATCCATTTTTTACATTAAATTTAAATTTATGTATCTTTAAGTTATATATATATATTCATTATTAATTGTAAAGGCATTAAAAGTATTTTCGCTGATTAGTACGAATAATAGTTCATATAATGAAAATAAATATTATTTACGAATTTTATTACAAAAATCATTATTGATAATTGGATTCAATTTTTTATTTAATTCTAATTAATTTTTTTTTAATTAATTCTTCCCATTTTTAATTCTTACCATTTTTAACCAATTTAAGTTTATCATTTTATTATTGTAATATATCTTCATAGAAATGTTAAAAAGAAATTTAACATTTACCGCAATAAATGATTAACTTAATTATTCATTTATTTGTTGTTTATTACAGTATAATAATTTGGATCATAATATTGATATAATATCTTTACTAAATAATTAAGTAACTAATAATTACTAATAATTTACTAAAATTAAGTAAATTAAAGGAAGAATAACAAATTTCGGAATTAATAAAAACATTACGAAATTTAAAAAAGATTTTTATTATCCTATAATATAATATAATATTATATGAATATTCGATAAAAGTAAATAAAATTTGTTGAAAAATTAAATTCGAAATAAATAAAACTGTGACGATAAATATTAATTCACGTTTTAATTAAGCCGTGTACTTACTTTAAAATACGAATCCCAACGAATATCAATGCTATTAGGTAATTTGAGAAAAATCTTATTTTTAAGAGTTTTTATGGGTACCGTGAAATCCATAACTTCCAGTCTATTTTTTGACATAAAAATTGTGGTTGCTGTCATATCCACCATTTTATTAGCAAGAACATTTGTAATACCTATCCATTGATTACTGGTAGCATTAAAAATGCCGTTTGTATCTCTCCTCACAATTATTTTGGACGTAAAGTTTCCGATTATTTTAATTATTTCAATGAATTCTTTATAAAATTTCCTTGATTTTTTATTAAATCTATGCGATGAATTTGTTAACTGTTGAGAAACAACATGATACAAGAATTTGGAAAGGAATAATAATTGATGACAATGACTTTTTCGTTTAAATACTTAGTTTATTTAAATAAAATATAAGGTAATAAAATTTTTTTAATTAATTTCCGATTTTCAATATCTGTAGGTTATATTTTTAGGAAACGTGTGCATAAGAAAATATATTAAAATAATATATTATTATTAAGCAAAATATAAATACTTGAATCGTATATCTCCACTTTCTGGCTTATAAAGCACATGAAAATTAGATTGTATATATATATAAATAATTTCTTTATAAATGTCGAAAGTTTAAATAAGAATGATAATCTTAAAAAAGGATATCATTAAATTAAAAACCAATAATTTATTTATATTTATAAAATAATAATTGAAAATAAAGTAGTGCTCTCGACGATTAATTTATAGATATTAAATTTATAGCTTCTCAACCTATTTTTGTGCGCGTAGAAATGTTTTTACTTCTTTATATATTTTATTTGAGATATTTGTAAGCTCTATTCTGATGGGATCTTAAATATTAATTTGAAAATTGTTCAAATTCTGGTTGGTAGTAAATTAGTTACCTCGGCTTGTGTTAATAGTACTCCTTTAAGATTAATTTTTTCTTGAATTAGTTCAGCTTTACTGTTGACAATAAACTTTCTATCGGCTGTCCAAGTACCCAGTTCCGTTATCTCAGTAACATTTTTGAATATGGAATAGTATTTGTTAATACTAGTATGGTTACCACATTTAACGATCATCAATGAGTTCAATTGGAGATTAAAGGGATTGCCTTGGGGCTGTGCACAGTCAAAACTGGTTGTATTTTTTATTATTACTAGCCACGTGTATGCCCACACATTTCTGACCTTAAAGAGCTTTTGATAATACACATAATGTTTTTCATCATTAATAAAGATCGTGAACATGATTTTAGTTCCGATTCGTGTGTCAGTGCTATAACAGAAATCTTTCTTCATACGTTCTACAACACTGTAACTCATTCCTTGGGATTTTATACCATTTTCCGAACACTTACGTATTTCCTGGATTAATTGCTTTTGAAAATGCAAATCTGCAGAATATTAACGTATAGAAATATATTTATAAGGTTGGATTAGATTATATTTCCAATTATTTAACATCCTTAATATTTTAAAAATACATAGATATTTATATAATAAATAATAAGATTTTTGATAATAGTTTACAACAGTAACTAAAGAATTTAGCCCTTTAAATTATTTTACTTCTTTAAACGATCTATAAAAACAACTAATAAACTATCCGAACATTAAAAAATAATTGCATTAAACAAAATTAATGTACTCTCTATATGAAGTATTTTAATTACCTCTCAAATTTATTTCATCTATAATGACAACTATGCTGGATAATGTATACAGTTTCCAAACACTTTTAGCTAGAGCAAATGTATCATCCAAATTATTTCTGTAGCCATTGATTATGTGGAAATTTACAATTGATCCAAGAAAAATGATTAAAAATTTATATTTCATTTTTGTTTTAAAACATCAACTATTGAATTAACAATATTTTTATTTTGTTCGTGTTGTCTATTATTCATAAGACTCGAGAATTTATGATACTTCTAAATAAAACTGTAGTGATAGAATATATTTAGAACTTTACAAAAAATATAACTTTACAATAATTACTTCATGGTTCAATAATCAATACTGCACTATTATTATAATATATTCTTAAATTTATTATCATTTCGAAGTTATATCCCTAATTTAGCAATTTGACACTGTTAAAATGTTGCTTGACTTTTTGTTTTTAAATTTATATAATGTTTTATCAAATAATGTTTGATACTAGAGAAATTAGTTTAAATGATAATAGGTAAACCTTTTACACTGTATTATACAATATAATATTTATTTTATGTAAGCCACACATAGTTAATATTTTTCTGATTTGGTTTGAATGAAAACATGATTTTTTATATCAATATTAATATTTAAATTAAATCTGTAGCGTGGAAATATTATTAAGATTATTGAAGTTTTTCGAAAATATATTTCCAATTATGTACACTTTTTAATTTTAATAACGCTTAGAATAAATTACTACGTAAGTAATAGAAAGAACACTTTAGAGTGATGTTTATGAAATTATTTACAAAAATTATAATATTTTACATATGTATATATATAAAGATTCGTTATAAACAAACTTTTTATGTATTTAATATGACTGTTGTTTTTCATCATGTAATATTTATTTACGTTGTTTTTATCTAGTGTTTGATACGTGTATATTATATAAATTATATCTAAATGAATAATAAATATATAAATGATATATATTATCATTTTTTTCAAGATATATGTAAATATTCACGTAATATTTTATTGTTTTTGCATTTACTTTTTTGTTTCTTTTTTTTGTAACATTCACTGCCAGTTTTCTTATAATTCTATAGTTATTCAAAATACCTTAATCTTATGACTCTTATATTTTCTGTACTTAAGATAATTGTAAAAATACTGAACTTGTAAAAAATCAATGAACGATTACAAAGGAAAAAAATTATCGATTCATTCGTCCTTGTGATTTAACTGATTAACTAAACCTTTTTAAAAACGATTTATCGACTCCCTTGCAATGACCTTAAATAAATTATTTTATTGTAAATAAAAACTAAGGTTGCATATTTCATTCTGATTAATTTTGTGTAAGCACATTAACATTCGTAATAACAAGAGAAAATATATAAGGTTCGATTCATAAATGATAATTCTTTATCTTGACCGAAGTATGTGATTGAATGAACTTGATGGGAATAAAAAAGCAAAAATTAATAAGTTATCAAGGTAAGTACTTTGTCTTCGTATTTATGGATTATTTGACATAGCAAATAAAATTATTTGATTTTCATAACGAATCTTAATATTGAAACAGGTTGTTTTAATGAAGAAAAATGTCAGCAAAGTCGAAGAAGCTACGTTGTCACCTCCTTTTGGTTTTGTTGCAAAAGAAGAATCATGATACTTCCGTGTTCCGGAAGTGCATTTAATTAGTTATACTTCTAGACTGGTAACTTTGGCACGAGTTTATGACTTTTGGGCTTGGGAAGAAGAGCACCATAGTCCGTGAGTTAAGTCGTTAATGTGTCGATCCATTGCTAGCTCTTGAGTAATTTATTTTCATGCATTATTTTCATCAATACGATATTACGTTTCTGTATACGAGAATATTCGTTATGGTATCAAGTTATATATTTTTCTTCGTAAAAACTGTATCCTTACTCTGCCATCATCTCACCCTTTCTTCAATACTATTTAAAAGAAAATAAACATTTTAAAAAATAAACTATGTTGTCTTATCAAAATTAATCGATAATATTGCTTTTGATTTTTGATTAATTAAATTGTAAAATATTTTTTATCAGAGTGCCATATGTTATCTTTTATTTATATTATAACATTAAACTTTCAGGCATTATTTTTGTACTACAGCAACCAAGATTTCAGGAGTTTTGAGATTATTTAAAGCAAAATAAAATGTTTAATTTAAAAGCGCCCTCTGAGGTCCCTAGCCATCACTAAAAAATATTAACATCCAATGGCGCATATGTTGTTTATTTTTATCCTCATGTTGCCATAAATGCACTGTGCGCCTTATACTATCGTTTCAAAGCTACATAATTTTTTTTTGTTTATTCGTTAATTCCCGGATTCAATCGTTTTATAGTATTATTGAATGACAAAAGTTTTCAGTATTAAAGATAATGATACTTTGGCAAATGAGTGTCTGAATAGTTATAAACGAAAAAGGCAATATGAAGTATATTTTAAAAATAATGATTTCTCAAAAAGTTTGGTTAGAATCATAACGCGTGCGCGCTCTTTGTGTTTAGTCTTATTTACTAATGTTTGGATCAGCGATGCATACGCATATAAAGACTTTGCATCGCTTTAATATCTTGTTTTAACATTATCAGTCTTCATTTTCACTGATAAAGATAATTTTTAACTATTAATAAATAAAAAAATTAATAAAATATTTTTAAATAAAAATGCGCCCTAAATGGTCATTTTCTTTTATAATAATTAATAGTCATAATCATTTTCACTAATAATCAGCTCATAATCATCGTAATAGTAGTATGTCATATATTAATCGTTTAAAATGGCACTGGACATGCGACAAAATCAACGCCTCACCCAAGAGGCAATGAGACATTATTTGTCCGAATGTAAGCGTACAAAAGGAAAAGCAGATATGATTGTTGTTATTTTTCATGCCAAGGTAGCACAGAAATCTTATGGAACTGAAAAAAGATTTTTTTGTCCACCACCTTGTGTCTATTTAAGGTAAAGATTCTTATTATCTAATACCAATCATTTACTTATCTCTGTATATTAGTTGTCTATTGGAATTTATAAAACAAGATTTTTTTATGCTTTTTTAGTATAAACTTTTATTTATTGATAGATGACATTTATATGTTTGTTATAGCTGAATTGTTATTTGGTGGTTTCGTATTGATTTATATGAATAATTAGTTTTTGTACAATTTAAAGTTAATTTCATAAAAGAATAAAATAATGGTTTTTGTTCAAATATTTTAAATATCTGAAATTTTATATAATTATTTTATTATAGAGGCAATGCTTGGTCTATGAGGCAGGAACAAATGCGTCAAGATGGTGAATCGGAACAGTCATCGCAGCTTTGTGCGTTTATAGGTATTATTGGAAATTCGGATCAGGATGTGCAACAGTTAGATCTAAATAATGAGGAACAGTACTGTGCGGCAAAGACTTTGTTTATATCAGACTCTGATAAAAGAAAGCATTTTATGCTTTCGATAAAAATGTTTCACGGCAATGGTCATGATATCGGTGTTTTTCTGAGTAATCGAATTAAAGTTATATCAAAACCATCAAAAAAGAAACAATCTCTTAAAAATACAGAATTGTGTATAGCTAGTGGCACAACCATAGCGCTTTTCAACCGCTTGCGTTCGCAAACTGTTAGTACGCGATATTTACATGTAGATAATGATCACTTTCATGCAAGTTCTACTCAGTGGAGTACATTTACTATCTATTTACTGGATGACGATGAAAGTGAAACTGAAGATTTTGAACCCCAAGATGGCTACATTCACTATAATAATACAGTGAAATTAGTCTGTAAAGATACTGGAATGGCTCTACCACGATTGATTATACGGAAAGTGAGTATTTCCTTTTCATAATTATTAGATTTTGTCTATAAACTAATTACTTATGATGGGATTATACATTTAAAATTCTTTCATATGCTACAGTAATACTGTTACTACTGAATTTTAGTAATCAAGTTATACCGATCTTTTTGTAATGGATTGGATTATTTTATATGAAAGTGAAACGCAGTGAATTCTTATCTATTTGGATAATATCTTGCCATAAATTCTAGTTTAAATTAGAGAATTTTTATTAAATGTTTAACTATTTCCATGGACACAAAAACTATAATGTTTAATCAGTACTGTCTGCAAATTTTTCAAATTTACTCTTAAAAGGGATTTTTTGTTTTAAATAATACCTTTGTTTAATTCACTGCTATTTATAAGTACTAAGAACAGTTATAAGTTTATTTTTATGTTTCCTAATAAACATTTTACTTGCAATTTTAGGTGGATAAGTCAATGGCAAGCTTAGAAGCTGACGATCCTGTCTCACAATTACACAAATGTGCTCTCTTCCTAAAGGATACAGACCATATGTATTTATGCTTGTCACAAGAGAAAATTGTTCCTTTTAATGCGACGCCTTCGCCCAAAGAGGCAAACAAGGATATGATCAATGATGGAGCATGCTGGACTATCATCAGCACAGAGAGAGCTGAATATACATTTTATGAGGGGATGGGTCCTGTACACGCACCAGTAACTCCAGTACCAACAGTTCAATATCTCAATCCTATGGGTAGCGTAGATGTTGCTATGTTAGAACTAAAGGGTGATAATTTTGCACCGAACCTTCAGGTTAATTACTTGCTTATCGTCTTTACATTTATTCAATTTTCTATTCACAACATATTGCTTTTTAAATGCAAAATTTAAATTATGAGGTATATATGATTAGGTATGGTTCGGTGATATGGAAGCCGAGACATGGTATAGAACAGAGCAGAGTATGGTATGTGTAGTGCCAGATATCAGTGAATTTCAAGGAAATTGGTCATGGATCGATCGAGGGACTGAGGTCCCAGTCTCTTTGGTGCGAAACGACGGCATCATCTACGCTACTGGCCTCACATTCAATTATAACCTCGAATTGGGCCTAAGAAAGCGTGCTGCCCTCCAGGTTACGAATGCATCCACCACTGCTATTGCAGAAGCACCCTGGATTCGCTATCAACAACAGACGTCATTCGCCGTGTAATAGTGAATTATATCTTTCACCATACTTTTGTTTAATATCCTTATTTAGATAAAGATCAACTAGCATTTATATAATTGAATATATTACTTAATTAAGGGTAATGTCTAAAACTGTTAGCAATAATGCGAGCAATGTTGAACGTTGTTTATATAAAATTTACATTTATAGGAATTGTTGCTTTTGAGTAAAGACAAGTTTTTATATTATTTATCTCAAATTAGACTTCAAATTTAAATGTAATTCATATTCAGTTGTTAAAGTTGAAAAATTATGAAGAGTTTCCAACAAATTGTTGTTTGAGAAAAATGATAAGTAAATTAAAAGAGAATTATCTTGAAAAAAACATTACATCAATATTAAAAATTAAAATATTTACACAAGTCTGTTAATTAACTATAAATAATATATTTTTCATGCATCCTTAGTGTCCATGCCAATTTGCCATTTTTTATTATTAAATAATATAGTTATACAGTCATAGAACCGTGAAGCTACGATAATTTTATATTTTTTAAATATAACCATTTATACATAACAAAAAGAAAATTAAATCATCCATAATTTTTAAAAAATTTATTAAAACAAAAATTTTGTTTTAATTTCATGTAAGCTTATAAATATTTAATATGTTTATAGCAACTTCAATATAACTGAACTTCGATAATTTGAGTTATTAAAATATCCAAATATAATTTATATAATTTATATAAAGATTCATTGGAATAATTAAATTATTTTCTTATAAGAAATTAATTTAAAATTTTTCTTGGTTTAAAAATTTTTTTACTAGGAGGAAAAAATATATTTTCCCTTATGTTGTATAAATGTTAAATATAATAAAATGTTAAACATAATTGAAAGCCTTGAATGTATCATGTTTAATTTAATAAGGCTTTCAAGGAAAATAGAAAAGAGTAATCATTACATAACAGAATGTCATTTTCTTAGTTCTGAAATTATATATTTTAATAATCTGTAATCATATAGTATTTTTGAAAAGTAAGTTAATAAATTATACATAAGTACATACATTTTTTCATAACTGAATATCAGTTTTTTTATATCTATTTTTATTTTACAAATCACATATACATATCTATCGTATATAATGAAAATTACGATCTTAGCAATTATTAAGTATTAGTCGATAATTATACATTTATTAATTTTTTTATTCATTTATAAAGTTTTTTATATTTTTCTTTTTTCATGAATCTTATCTCTTTTTATTGATTAATATTAGCTATTCTATCTATTTTTAATTTTTCTAATTTTAATTGTTTAACTCAAAAAACTAAAAAAAATTTTACTAAAAATCAGAAAGCGGTCATATTTTAATTAATGATAATTCATATATAAAGATTGCTCAGGATCATAATTAATATACTAACACATAATATTTATGCATCATGAACTTTTATAAAATATTAAAAGATGTTCATTATGACAGGATTAGAAATATTCTGTAATCACCTATAAACTTTATGAAATTTGTATGTTATATTTTATTTATAATTATAAATTACTGTTTTACAAAATCCATAAGCTTTGATTATTATTTGTTAATGTAAAGCGTATCTGTAAAGTAAGTTTAATGATAATCTAATGATAAATATGAAATATATCGATCCCAGTAATTTTAGTGATAACGAAATTTAATATTTATTATTCACTAATTTTAAGAAAACAAATGATCATTAGAAACGTAAAAATTAAAACAATAAAATATTATTGTACCGAAAGAAATAGTTCAAACTTCAAATTTGTAACAGGTACTTTAAAAATTTTAATATTGCCTTTATTAAGAAATTTTTATGATTAAGCATTACATTAATTACTGCGTTAATACCAATATAACAGTTATATTTTATTTTACTATTATAATTCTATATGAAGTTGAATCTAATTTATTTATAAGCTAATTTATATGTATTGTAAGAAATATATGTGTACTTGAATCTGTATTCAATAATCATAATATTTACATTAATAAAATCATTTAATTTATCATGATGGCAATTAAATAATATTTATAATTATATTTTTAATTTGTAAAAATAATATCTTAGCGGGGATTTATGATTTTAAAATCGAATTATAAATCTATTGATGACAATAATATAAATTCGTAATTGTCGATTGATATTAGAATTTCCAAGAAATATATATTTGTAAACATTTTATTTAAAATATCGTAAATCGTCATGACGATGCGAAACTAAAGTTGGAGACTGGTGTAATTACATTTTTTGGTATAATAGTCATTTTAAGCATTTGACTTCACTCTACCGAATACGAATCAATCATTCTTTTTTAATATATTTATAATATTAATGTTTTTTATGCTCCATGTTTGTATGGTACATTTTCTTTCCTCTCGTTCGTGTAATATACAAAGAAAAGGAAACTCTTGACTATTGGTAATAGATAGCGATCAATTTATATGTATAAAATGATTGATGTACATAAAATTAAACTACAAATGTTTATAATATAATTTTTAATGTAAAAAAGTAACACTTCACCAATAAAAACTTTATAAAGAATATACCTAATTTTAATAATTTTGATGCTTACTTTTATTTTGTAAAGATATTGAATACATCTTTGTTTCTCGTTTGAAAATAATACTAAAATTATTGTTGGAGTTCAAACAATAAAAAAATTTGGTTTTTTCATTATCTTACGTATAGATCCAATGGGTCGCACATAAAATAATTTGGTATACATTATCTTTTAGATTCTTTTTTTATTGTTGATAATTACTGTTTGATAATTTATTCCATAAATACATGCTATTGAAATATATGTTTGGAATGTATGTTCGAAATGAGATTAGCGAAGGTCTTTCCTATCTGTTTGTAGCATTTTTACTAAGATGTCTTTATCGCAGTCAGGTAAGATTTCTCGTTCATTCAATTATGATGTCTTATAAATTATGTACATGATTCTATGCTAAATTAATTATTAAAAGATTTAAATTCTAACTGATAGTTATATATCTAAGAAAGGGTATTCAATAATATATATTTATATTAAACACGGACATTATTAATTACTAGTCTCCGATATTTGAATTTTTATGGTTTATATTATGTAATTCAAATAGTACTTCTAAGCTATTCATTTATATTAGTTATCTTATCATATGGTGAAATTAAGATGCCAAGTTTTATTATAAATTCATCAATAATTGAAATTTCAATATACAAAATTTTTTGGTTCTTTATTTATTTTTATCCTGTTCACATGATCGAAAGTGCATTCATTAATTACATCACGAGTATTATAATTTATATTTAATCATATAAAAAAATATTGTATAATTTTAATACAATAAACTATTTTAGTAAGGTGAATATTTAAATAACGTATTTTCATAAATTTAAACACCCATACGTCTTATCTATCATATACATTTGTGAATTCATTACTAATAATATACAATACGAAAGTAAATCAAATAGTAACGTTTGCATAAAAAAAGAAAAAGTAAAAATTTTTTTTATGCCAGATATTTATATATTCGATGCAATAATATAAAATAATATTAATAATTTATAATAATATATATTGCAAAAATAAAATATTGTTTGTGAAAATAATAGGATCTTATATAAAAATGGGTTTCATGAGAAATAAACTAAAGAAATATTTTTGTTCAATATTCATTATATCATTAGGTACGAAATAAAATAATTTAGCTAATTTATAATATTATTAAATTTATATATACTAATTTATTTTAATTATAAAAACAATTAAATAATAAGATTATAGTTTTTGTAAAATAATTTTATAAATTGAAATATAAATATTCGTAGAAGGAGCAATTAATTTTTGTCAGTGATTACAAAAACCAAAACTTCATAATTATGAATCAATTTAATCGATAAAATATATAATTTCCTTTAATTAACACAACCATGTTCATCTTTTTTAATAATAATTCGCACAAGTTTATTTCTGAATACATTTTCGAAGGAATAAAATCCAAACAATTTTGCTAATATAAGACTCATTATATATCAGATTGTAATAATAGTGCGAATACAATAACATTTTAGGCACATAAGTTTGAACTTGACTTGACGAGCTAAGACTTAATGCAATTACACAAGAAAAAGAATATTAATTCAATTATTCATCGTTTCATTTTAATTGTTAATAAATGACGTACTCTTATGACTTGTAAGTATACTCATTTATTTTATTTCCAAATATACTGTAGATGTTATAATATTCTATAATAATTTTGCAGCATTGTCAATTACACTTCCGTATAAAAGTATATTAATCTTATGTGTATGAATAAAGAAATATCGTGAAATATAACTTCACCTCATAAGTTTCGAAATTGTCTGCTATAAGCTATTTTAAAAGCTTTAGAAGCTATTTAGAAGCTATTTTTAAGTAAAATTGTTAATATAAAAGTTTGTTTATTATCATTACACAACAATATTATAGAAATTTCTTTAATGAATATGTAATAAACTATGATACAAACACATAAACTTTAATCAACAAAATTATCCTAATTTCAAAATTATAAGATATTTTAATTTATAAAATATGTACCTCATATGAAGTCCTTTTATCAATTAGAGTTTATTAAATAAAATTGAAAAAGTACTGGGAAATATTTTCATTCGAATGCTACTTTTTAAATCCTAAGAATCTAAGCTAAGATTTTTTAAAACTCTAATAATCGGTCCTTGGTCGTTTCAACAGCCAAATCTTGATATTTGGTTGTTTGAACACAAACTCAACTAGCTTCTTTAGATTTTCCTTCTTCTCAATAATGTCAAAGCCTGCTCTAAAATTTAGTGTGTCCAGAAGTGCAGCAAAAACGATATCCACCCAGGTAAGTTTTCCACCCACGAAGAAGCCGCCATTCACGCTTACTTGCTCATCTAATCTATTCATGAAAAACGGAATGGCGATTCCAGCCGCTTTATCCTTTTGGGCTTTTACTTCAGGATTCGTTTCGCGATGAGTAGTGCTTATCACTATAGAAAAATGAGTTTTGCAATAAAGAGGATTGAGACTTTCTGAATATTTAAAAAAGTTTAAAGCAACAATTTATTACTACGTAGCTCTCAACTATTATTGGCACAATTTTTATATTTATTGCAATAAAAAGATTGGAATACATAAAGTTTAAACATCAGAAAAAGAACAAATGATCCTTATTTATTACCGATAATTAATGAAATAATGCTAATATTTTATTTGTTAATAAATAAGCATTATTATTGTTATAAATAACAATCATATTAAAAATGAAAAACTAATTTAATGAATTATTGGAATCGCTCAATTAATAATATCTTAATATCATTACTAATTCTAAATTAAATCTATTGGCTATGAGGTTTTGTAAAAACATAAGATACAATACAGATAGAATCTGACATTTTCAGTTTATCAATGCGTAATCAATGTAATAGCAAAGTTTTTCTATTGGTATTATATCTATCGACAGAGATAATTATTTTGTAATTTATATATTAATACTATCGTATTATAAAGAAAATTAATAATTTTTATTTATTTAAATATATTTTAATGGAGAAATATGAGAATAAGAAAATATATCAATTTGTTTAAAATTTTTAAAATAGTAGTTAGTTTTTAAATTTAATTTCGTTACCATAAAATACTAAATCGGATTTTAATATTTTCACAATTTTTAGAGAGATTCACTTTAGAAAACTATAAAAGACGTCGAATTCTTAAAATCCTTTATCAACTGATTTTTAAACATTAAAATACCATTTCACTTTTTTATAAGCTAGAAAATGTGTCCATACTTTATGAATAAATTCAAGGATACATTTTGTATGCGTTAAGTTATCAATTACTTTTTAATTTATTCTCTCGAAAATTTATTAATAATAAGCTGTAAAAAGTATAAAAATTGCAATAAAATATAGTTGAGAAAATTGTTTATGATCTGTATTTAATATTTGCAATCACGATATATTATTATATAATTATAGCTAATATGATATAATTTTATATTAAATTGATATTGACATTCTTAGTATAAACTTACTTATGCGCAAATCATTAATAGTATCGACAGTGGCATCAATTTCAAGATTTTCCCAATCATTTTTTCCAGTAAGGCCAAATTGCTTTGCCAAATAACGACATATTGCAGTCGACTGATTAATTTTTTTACCATCTACTTCCAGTATCGGAATTTGACCAAATAAAGTAGCTAAAATAAATAATTTCTTATTTTTGTGTGTAAAATTTAAATATGAATATTTTAATTAAATGGCACATACAAGGCTTAAGCTGTAGCCATTCATCGTCCTTTAAGCGCACATCGACAAAGTCGATATTAGCATAATTGAAAAGAAATCTAATGGGTTCGGCAAGACCTTTATTTGGAAAATACGTTAATTTATATGTAGGCATTTTTCTGAAAAGATATATGAATACAAACTTTCAATAATAAAATTATCTAATCGATGTCATATATTTTCTAAAAATTACATAAATATATAAAAATTAAATTAACATTATGATTATAGATTATCAAATCTAATGTTTTGAAAATAAGGTAAAAATTGTGGTCGAATTAATCGATTTATTACTAATTAGTAATAATGCAGTAGAGCTATAAATTATTATATCTTTCTCAAAAATTAACAGTTGCGGATATATTATTAATTTTTGTTATATAGAATAGAATAAAAGTATATGATAGTAATCATTAAAAAACTAAAAACTAATTAAAAATGCAGATATTAATAATAATAATAATAATAATAAAAATATTGATATTAATACAATTAATACTTCTTCGTATTAATTATTAAATTTCTTTTAATTATTTATTATTTTTTTTATTATTATTATTATTATTATTATTATTATTATTATTATTACTATTATTATTACTATTATTATTATTATTATTATTGACAGGCTATAATATTTATTAGAAAAAATAATTAGATCCTGAAACTGCGTGTGAACTAAGGTCTATTGAAGAAAGTGTAAGTCGACGAAATGAAAAATATTCATCAAACAACATTTATGGAGGAAAATAAAATTTGACAAAGTTATAACCGAAATTATAATAATTAAATAACTATTAATTTCTCTTTTCTTACTTTAACGAAAAGACAAGAAATAGTAAATGCAATATGTCAAATACACAATTGTTTTAAAAACTTAATGTCGTAATATATCTTAATATAAAATTAAATGCAAAATTTTTATTCTATCGTACGTAAAAGATTTAAATTATAAATTGGATTTTTTAGAGTGAATTTTGTACAATGAAAGGCGAAACAAGTCTTACCAATTAAAATAAATTCCAAAGGTTCAGTTTCAACACAGATGACGATAATCGTGTAAAGAATAAGAACTGGGTTGGGTTTTCGTGACTAAATGCACTGAGTGAAAATAAATAGTATGCGGTGTACGCTGATTACAGTTCTATTTAGCATAATGCAAAATATATTCTTGGTAGCAGTAAGTATACTTTTTATGCACTTAAGTATCATATTGCATTTCGAACCAGTTAGCAAATATAAAGTTACAATGTGGCAATGTAAGGTTCTACGAGGAATTTTTTTTTAATGTCGCAACAAGTTTAGTAAATGTTTATGAGATTAATACGGGGTTAGTCGCTGCAAATTTACAGATGATATGTACAGTGAATTTTTGGAGTAACCTATTTCAGAAAACAACTATAAGATTATAATATAATAGGTATTTTTACAAAAAGATCTTTCCATTGCATTCCTATTAGTTAATTTATACAATAACATCGATGGTGATATTAATATATTTATATGACGCTTAATAGTAGGTGATATAAAATTCTATTCATAATATTCATAGATTTTTAAATATTGAACATTTAAAACTTTTCATCTTTTAAATTCTTACGGTTAAGGAATAAAGTATTTTGTATGTAATTAAATAATAGTTTTAAGATAAATTAATTTAAAATAATAATTGATTCTATTTTACACGAAGAATCAACAAATAAAATACTTTAGTATATTTTAATGGTTTTTTGTCTCACGCAATGAAAAATAGAGCGTAACAAGAAGGTATAAGTTACGTCAAAAAGGAAAATTAAATAAATATAAAAATTTATTTATAGTAGAATATCTGATATATTCAATATTATAACTTGGAAAGAGAAACAATTTTTATTAGTTTATAGTGATCCTTCAGTTATGACATAGATGTTTTTAAGATCTATCTTGCATGTTCGAAGTATATTTTCTCGATGTTTATTATGTATATTATGTAACATAGGTGCTTTATTAAATATAATTGCGTTTATATCTACTACTTTTAGATAAGCAGATGGACTGTCGTAGATGAACAACCAATAGACTTCATTAATTTGAAGTAGGTGACGCATGTTATTTTATTATTATATTGCAGTAAAACATCTATCTAGGAGTTTCAGAAATATCGTTAATCGGTTATTAACTGATAATTCTGGTTTTTTGTTTTATGCACATTCCTAGTTTCTTTTATACATATTCTATTACTAAATACAGTTCTTTAGTTTACATAAGTTATATTGAATTTTCGCGCTCTTTCTAGCTGGTAATTTCGGAATACTTATAAGTTAAACGTCATTTTTATATTGCATGCATTACCTGATGATCCTACTGTTTTATTTTAATGTTCAATTTATTTTAAGGTTATATTAAAAAATGTTTTTTTTAATGGAATTTAAATTTACTTATCGAAACGTTATTACGTACATGGTTAAAATGAAGAATCAAAAAGAAATCAAGAGATTTGCTGGCCATAGTAAATGGGCTAATATCAAAAGAACAAAAATGCAAACAGATCTTAAAAAGTCACAACTTATACAAATGACGTTAAAAAAAATTAAATATGCCGTAGATAGTAATTTTTTAGTTCTTTGCTTAAGATTTATCATATTTTTCATAATATTTATAATAATCTTAATATTATAAACTAATCATTAAATCTTTCTATTATAAATAAATAATATTGTCTATTAAATATCTCTGTACATTTACAGTAAACAAGAATACTGATCCCGATAAAAATATAATGCTGGCAAGAGCAATTGCAGAAGCAAAAAGAAATTCTATACCTGCAGCAACTATTACAAATGCTCTTAAGAACTTGACAATTTCATTGAATCAAAATTCTGTTACTTATATAAGTAGAGGACCACTAAATATTTTAATTATACTTCAGTTATTATCAAACCAAGCAGAATGCCGATTAAAAATTAATGGTCAACTTAAAAAATTAGGGTAACTAAATAATTTATAAAAAAGAAAATTATTTTGAATTTACATAATATTATAAATTATTAGTCTCAGTTAACTGTGATTTAATTTTTAATTCGATTTTATCACGTTATATAAATATGTAATTGTAAATCTAGTTCAATCTTTTTTAATATCAATATATTAATATCAATATAATTTTTTTATAATAATTATCAATTAATTCAAAATAACTTTTAATATCAATATCAATAATACAGATTTACAATTTATATTTATTTTTAAAAATATTCAAAATTTTATCTGTAATTTGATATTGAAAAATTAATATAAATTTGTCTAAATAAATAGGAATTAATATAAAACAATGCGTTATTAATGATTTTGAATACAAACTGAAAATAACTATTATATTATTTATATTTTTAACATTACTAACATTAGTTAGTAAAAATTTCTTATTATTGTAAATGCTTCAGATTTTCCATTTAATTAACAGTTTATAGTTAATTTGTAGATTTTCATCTTGTGAAATACCAAAGGCTGGATTATTGAATGAAGAAGGAGTTATTTTAACAGAACAATTATATAGTTACCAGGAAGAAGAGAAAATTATAGAAGATGCAATAGATGTTGGTGCTGCAGATGCAAAAATCATTAAAAAAAACAATGAAGAATTTTGTCAGGTTACATAAAAAATATTATTCATGCAGCTACTTCGACATTTTAGATGTAATTGCAATATGTATTTTATTACAGTTTACATGCTCACCATCAAATTTATCAAAGGTATTAAAAGAACTGGAAAAGAAAAATTATAAAATTATAGATTCTGAAATAAATTATAGTCCCCAAAGATTCATTACATTAACTGGTAGTGAAATGCAATACTATCAAAAGATTTGTGATAAATTTAATAGTATGGAAGAAGTTATTAAAGTAAATAGTAATGTCACTTAAGATTAATTTTTTAACATTTTGTAAATAAACAACACATTGTAAATAATCATTTGTATGAGTTTTTAGTTTAAAAATTATTGTATAAAAATAAAATATATTATAATAACAAAATAAAATACCTTAACAATTAAATTAAATTTAATCTTTTATGTTTTTTTTTGGTATTATTTTTGGTACATTTTAATTTTGTGTATGAGACCATTAAAATAGATGTTTCCAATCATATAAGCAAAAACTTATAAATATGCAATAAAATATTTATTTCAATTAATTAGAAATAAGGTTATTGAAGCAAGAACTAAAAAGTAATGTACAATTCAAGTTTAAACAATCCTTAAACTGATATGATACATTGGTTCTTCTTAAATAAAAAAAAATTTTTTAGTATGTACTTTATATATTGAGTGTTTAGAATTAATAATTGGTTGACGTTTGATATTTATTTATCGAATATTCTATTCTTTACTTTGAGTATTAAACGCAGACTTTGGTCAACGAATAATTGTTTGTTTAGTTGATATTGAAAGATTTGTTTTAATTTTATTATAATTATATTAACTCCAGTGACTAATGCATTAAATCGTCGTATTTTCGTGTAGAAGAATTGTTTATATTAAGATAGTTCAGATATGTATATTTGAAGTCTCGCGGGTTTCAATTCGAAAACTTGTTTAGAAACGTCGTTTTCAACCGTATTACGTCATGCATTGTGAAAAATAAAATGAAGAATTTGAAAGCATGTGATCAGAGAAAATTTTTGTAGGTGGTAATAGCGTTTATAACTTAAAAGTGTCGTATAAGAATCGTGGAAGCATTCGTCACATTATAGACACTTTCATTTGCAAAATGGCGCATTTCAATAATTCATGGTTATGGATTAGTATTTTAATGCTTTATGTGGCAAAGTAGATAGTGTAGCAGCAGTCACTGACTTACTATTGGATTAGTTTAATATTTTCATATAATTAATTTCTTTACTATGTCCGGAAAAATGCGTGCTAAGCAAGATAAATTAGATGGTGAGTATTTTATATATATGAAAATTTTCAAATTATTCACTGAATTTTCGTTATTTGAATTTTTCTTTAGAAAATTAACATATTATTTGTCGTAGGTTAGAATTCAAAACAGAATGTCTAAAAAATTCGTTTCTAACTTATAATTGAAATTTAATACTTATGTCAATAGTTATAAATAATTACTGGCATGCATTTTTAATTAATATTAATTTATATTATTCTATACTTTTTTATTACATGTTCATCGTAAATAATTATTTTATTTTTCGAGTTTAGATATCATTGCCTATAGTGAAGTAGCAGTAAGAAATAATGCTGCCGTTGTTGAATATTGTAGGATATCAATGGCTGCTCTTTCAGGTGGTACAGCAGGTCTATTAGGTCTTACTGGATTTTATGGATTTGGATTTTATATTTTTGCCATATTAAGCTTATGGGTAAATGCATTTTAATCTGAATTGACTGAATGAAAATGAAAATGTTGTTTAATCTACATATTTATCGTATGTCTGGTCTTTGGTAATATTATTGTTATGAATTTTTCGACAAAGCTTTATACGTGATAAATTTATACATTGAAATATTAAATTTAATGTTTTTTGCATACCTCATTATTTATTATTATAAAATAATTTACCTTATTTTACTATTTTATTAATTCATTAAAAATTTGGATAATAATACTTTAAAATTTAATTATCAAATTTTGATGTCAATATAAATTTTAGGGTATGTTGCTGATGAAAGCAGGTGGGCAGTGGAAAAAATATTTTATTAGTAGACGAAGTTTATTAACAAATGGATTTTTTGGTGGTCTTTTTGTATCCTTTTAAAAAAAAAAAAAATATATAATTAATTAGAAAGTATTATTTTCCATAATACTATATACTTGATTCACTACAGACATACGTATTATTTTGGACGTATCCTTTTTATTAAACAAAAAATGAAACTAATACTATTTATATATAGAAATAATTTATTATAAAATTTATTATCATAACTTTTCATAGACTTATTTGATTAATTAATAATTAGCACATAATTAATTAATTGATTAATTAATGATTGATAAGCAATTAATTATTTGATTCATTAATAATATTTTAGCATATCAAATTTATTGTATATCTTTTACAAATTAAATATAAATCTTTTACAAAAATAAAAATTGAGCTACAAATATTAACAGATACGTAAATAAATTATAATATTAAATATTTTTCTTAATAACATTTTAGATTTCTTTATGGAATGGTACATGTCTATTGAAATTATAAAAAAATTCAGAAATGTTCAATTACAAGTCAATGACACTGCTATATATTTATACCAGTTATGTATGAATAAGTTATGCTTATACAAATTTGCATCACATTATTATGACCAAATAAATTATACAAAAAAATTTATTATTCTTATTATAACACTTTGTACAGAAATAAAAGATGTAAATATTTTCATATGTAGCAGCAGTATTTATTTTCTATAGTTATTCAATGATTTATATATACAGTTTATAATTTTAAATGATATATCATAATTAATAGGTAACTTTTTATTTTTAAACAACAATTAAAATACAATAAATAATAAATAATAAATTTTTATGAAAATGTGGATTTTTCTATATTTTTATGATTTAGTTTTAAAGATTTCTTAAAATAATAATGAAGTAATTCTCATCAATAGAATTTATTAAAGTTTCATCATGTACATAGTTAGATAAAATAAATAAATTATTTTCTTAATGTTACAAAAATATTATAAAAATTATTTTTATTGCATAGAAAATTTCTGATAAAACTCAGCAAATATAATTGATATTGTATTATTTAGCCACATTGGTTTTTCAATCCACTAATACTTATTCAATAATAAATTTGACCTTATTTATTATCAAAACTAAATATATAGATGTATTTTTATAATTCATTGTAACTTTTAAATATCTTTACTTTTGCATTTTTATTTAATAGAACTAGTTAAATCTTGTTGTACTTAACGTATTTAGTTTTTTTTATCTTCCATATGCTGTAATAATATGTATTTAATTATTTTTTATGATTATACATGCATCTGTTTATGTGTATAGGTGTGTGTATAACTAGAATTTGTCATAAATTAAAGAATCATAATTTATTTCAGATGATAAAGTATTTGAATGAAAAAAAATATTAGTTTTATAAACATTTAATTTCAATCATAATACAATTGCTAAAAATTTTATTTTTCAAATATACAAGTTTTATATTATTAAAACTTAATTATATCTATTTTGTATTATAATCAGAAATAGATATTAATAGTTAAAAATTATAAATTTATATAATAAAATGCTCTATAATTTATACATTTCTGAAATATTCTGAATTGTATAATGAGAAAAATCATTATCTTCAATATAATACCGAAATTCTTAATAAGCAACTAATTTATTAAAAAAATATCGTGCGTAATCTTAAAAATTTTCTAATAATCTTAATTTTACATTGTGGATTATTGCAACCTGCACTTATTATGTTGGATTGTGTAAATACATACCCTTTTTTATATAATTTTAGTCTTTTGTGTTTTACAATTCTACATATTAGATCTATTTAATTAAATCTTTATTTCAGAATCCAATTCTATAATGTTTTCTTTGTTATCTATATTAATATTTTCATAACTGTGTTCGGGTACTTTCACAATTTCTAAGCCATCCATTTGTTTATGGTCATCAATTTTATTTAATTCATCTTTACTGAGGTGGTACACAATACCAGCACCAAAACCATCTCCCAGAACGTTAATAGATGTCCTAATTCGATCACTAAAACGTAGATAAATTTTTATATGAAAATGTAAAAATTTTAATGGTATTTAAAAATAAGTATCAATCGAATATTGATTATCTCAAAGTGTCATGTAATTTTTAAAGGAATTTATAATATTAAAGATTTTAAATTATTTATCGGCTTTCAAAACATTGACATTCTTAATTAAGAAAAGACTTACAGGAACCAGTCAACTGCAAAAAGTAATGATACATCACTAGTCGGTAGGCCTAGAGCAGTCAAAACGAGCAACATAGTTATTAGTGCAGCACTGGGAATACTTGCTGCTCCTATGCTGGCTATAGTTGCAGTCAAACTGTTTTCAAGACAAAATAATATTATTTTTCTTTAGTAAAAGATTACTTTATAAATAAATCGATTATAATAGACTATATGACATGATAATGCTCGATACAGTAACATCACATATTACATAAGTTTTGATATTCGTATAGTTTCACTTCATAATTGCAAATTATTTTAAAATTACTATTAAGTATCTTTTATTTCAGCACATTGTGCAGAAATTATCGACCAATTTTCCAAAGATTCGATTAACATTATTTTACCCATTAATTATGAATGTAATAATCATAAATAAATCGATACTTACCTGACAGTGATAACTTCGCCAATTCCCAAACTGATTCCATTTAATTGAGCTATAAAAATTGCGGCTACCGCTTCGTAAAGAGCTGTTCCATCCATATTCACGGTAGCGCCAACAGAGACAACAAATCTCGTTATTCTCGGATCAATTTTATTATTTTCTTCTAAGCATCGAAATGTTATTGGCAGAGTCACTGCACTGATTAAACAAAATTAATAGTAAGATATATAGTTATTGTACGGATAATTAATATTCGCGTGGAGAAAATAATTTTTTAGGTTTCGTTAACTCAATTGTTATAAAATAAAAAAAAATTAATTGGAAAAGATTTTACTATTTTGACAAATTTAGGCATTAACTTTTAGAAATCTCTTTTAAATAGCATAATTATATATTTGTAATTTATTTGTGATTTATATGCAATTTAAAATTTGAAATACTGTATTTGATGTATAAATTGTCGCGATTATAATGCAGAAATTGTCAGTTAATATTTCCAGTTTATTGTGTTTGAGAGGAATATTTTTGTTACAAATTATTATTAGTAACAGTCTTCAATACGTAATAATCAATACCTTCAATACCAATAGATAATATTATTGCAATGCGTAAAGAATCCATCTTACATCAAGCAAGATTTCAATGTGTGTTTGCAATATTTTAATTAAAGCATTGCTCTGATAGACCTTGAGTGATGGTTTTGATTTAAAAAAATTGAACTTACTCCTTTATTTGACGAAGCTCAGATATTAAAGAAAATGACACATATATATGTATCAACAATTTCTTGCGCATATTAAGCAATTTGATACGACCTGATATGTGCCATCTAGATTAATATTAAGCAAGTATATGAAAATGCACATAAAAATATGTTAAACCCCTGCAAGAAATACGCGAATTGCGTAAAAGATAAGCAATTGAGAAAGAAATAGGGGTAACTAAGTATTGTGCCAAGTAATTGTACGACATTGGACATTTGTAATTCAATAACAATATAAAATAAATAAGCTATTTGAAACATGAAAGAGGAATTTAAGGTGCAACTTTGTATTAATTTCATGTTAGATACAGTAACTTAACTACGATGATGATTTTTTAAGAACTTATGGTTTATCTACCTTGATGCGGTGCCCATGGCGGTAAGCCAAGCTTGCATGATACCTTTAAAAAAAACTGCAGGATTCTGTCGAGTTACGATCCAAAAAATTAAAGGTAAAGTAATAATCCCATGTATTAATAGACCAAGAACAACTGTGATCATATAAAGGCCCAGCATTTGAGCTGTTGCGATCAAGTTAGCAATGGACATAATTTTTCCGGCGATGAGACACATTATTCCAATAGGAGAGTACCTGAGAATTATAGCCGATAAATAATATTATACTAGACTCATTATATATCGTTATTCTTTTAGAAAAGCTTTTCATATTCTATTGCTTAAATTTTGTTAGGTGCTCATTAACTTTTGAAATTTGTAAATATAATGCTAGCCTTATAGAATTTATTAAATATAAAATATATTTGTTTATTTAGCAGAATTTTATCGTATATATATTTTTACAAAATTTGATATTTCGATTTTATGAAAACATTTTATGAATAAATTCGCTATATCAAAAACTATATGCTTATTCATTCTAAAAATTTATAATCCATACAAATTTATATCAAATGTCAGATGTGACAAAATACGTTTCGTTGATTATTACAAATAAGTTGATTGAATTTTCTATCAGGATAAATGAATTAAATTTTAAAATAAAATTTTAATTATGATTGTATTTTATTATAGCTATAACAATTTCACTAATTACCACATTACGATTAGGCTGACAAGTTTCATGATGATCTCATTAAGAATAACGAAAAAGTCGATCATCAATTTGCCACGTGGGCCAATATGTCCAGCAATTAATCCAAATGTTATACAAAATACGATCATTCCCATGACGTTTGTGCCATCTTTATAAACAAGCGTCGGTTCCATCATATGACCTGTTCGAGTTCGCCCTTCACCAAGAATGACGACTTTTTTCTTCACAAACTGCGTTTGAACCTGTTGAAAGGACGCTTGCACGAGGTTCTCCGGCACCATGTTTCTGAATTAAAAAGATTCATTGGAGTACCCAAGTCTTTTAAAGTATTTATTAAACTCAACAATGAGAGCTATCATCTCAAAATCACTTTAAAACTAAAAAATTGAAAATTTCCTATAATAATATTTTATAAAATAATTGAAATTAAGTTTTTTTTTAATAAATGATGCCTTGAAGTATATTAATATAATTTTCACAAATAATATTTATAAATGCATTATAATGATTGTAAAACAATATACATGACATATTATTTACAATCAGTGGGTGTATTTACATATAGGTATATCTAAATATTATCTAAAGTTATTAAACTTAATATTTGATTATCTTAATTATAGTTGTTAAAAATAAATCTAATTTTATAAAAAAAATACAAAAATACCTAATTATATCGAGAATAGCATCTAGAGTGGAAACGTTTGCGTCATTGCTTTCCAAATCAGATACGATATTCTTAATCTTTGGATCGCCTGGGTGGATAGTGAGAACTACCATTATACCGATTATCGCAGCCAAAATCGTTGTCACCATATAATACGTTAAAGCTCGAATACCTATTTTTCCAGAGCTTTTAGCATCTAATTGAGCCATCCCTAAATTAAATAATATAATGATTAATTACTAAAATTATAAAAAAAAATTTACTTTACTACGTCATGTTTAAGTAATAATATTTCAATAAGTTGTATATATCCAACAAGAGTAAAAATATTTATAAAATATGTCGTTTAGAATATTTAATAAAAGAAAAATTTGGAAAAGTCTCGGGTCGACCAACTAGAATATATGTACTATCCTATTGTTGTGCATTGAATTTCATTTTTTCTCTTCAAGACAACTAGGCAGAAAATCCTCTTGAAAAATACCGACTATAATTAAGGTGACGACATCCAACATTTTCTTGTTTCTTGTTGCACTTTGACATACATTATTAATTCTTCGTTACCATTTCGTTTAAGCAAAAATGTTAAATATTGAGAAAATTAATATTTATAATATAATATAAAATAATAATTAAGACAACTAAAAAAAAGCCATATTAGTATTTAATACATTTTATAATTTTGTTGTCAATGTGGTATAAAAGAGTTATAAGAATCACTCTTATGTATTATATTTTTAAATCAATTGCAAGTTTAATATTTCATGTATTTATGAAAAATCACGGCATGGATACGAAAGTTAAAAGAGAATTTGTATTGTACCTGCAACTAATGAAGAAATAATAAGTGGCAATATAAACATCTTCAACATGCGCATAAGGATTTCTCCGGGAAAGCTTATAAGTAGTATTGTTTGTGGTGAAAAATTCATTAAACGTCCGACGGATCCAAAGAAGCAACCGGTCAGAACACTGGCAATTGTTAGAACAAGTAATAAATTTGTTTTCATCCAACTCAGCATCTGTATATATTATAAATAATGTAAACTGGAACATTTATATTTTTCATACTATTTTTCATACTAACATAATTCTAGATAAAATTCTATAACTAATACTAAAGTTTCATCTATTAAGTGGGCTTTTATTTTGAAAATTTTTACTACAAACAGTACATTGCTTATACGTGTTAATAAATCTAAACAAAATTGAAGAATATTTTATAAAGTATTTTCTGTTGTTGCCTGAGAAACAGTAATGGATAATTGATGAATTGTATGCATTAAATGAGTAGAAGCTTATCATATTTATATATTTAAATTAATTTTATAAGTGTTTTACGATATTAAATGAAATTATCTGGCAACCGAATAATAATTATATAATCAATATTAATTCGTCTCCATAAATATATGATAAGAAAAGTTTGGCTATATATATATTAAAAATTAATAATATTGTAATTAGTTAATATAAGCATTATTGAGAAATCTATTCATTATTTATTATTCATTAAAAGCAATTCAACATTCAAAATTTTATCTAGATTGCAATAGTTTTAAGATTATGCGATCATTTTACTATTTTTTACTATTAGGAATTTCGTGCAAAAATATTTCTATTATAACTTTAAGCTAAATACTCACAATATCTTTACCCATTTTTAGTCTCTTCACAAATAGCTGCTTATCCTGTAGGTTTTCTATGCCGTCCAGTTTATCTTCTAACGTTCTCATTTCGATCGCCGTTCTAAAGATTTTACATGTAAAAATTTTTTTATAAATGAAACATTTTTAAACTGATTGTTACTTATAAATAAATTAATTAAATGTTAATTAAAAAATGTAATATTATTTATATTTATTTATTTTTATTCAGGAGAATGCATATTAACATTAAAAATAATTCTAATCTTAGTTATTTTCCTAGAAAATTTTTTTTTAAAAAATGAAATGCTAATATTATTAATTAATATTTAAAAGAACTTTAAATTTTATAAGGATGAATTCAATTTCACGTTATTTAATGAGTATGAAGTAAGACTTCTCATAGAATTGCTTAATTTTGTTTAGACATTATTTCAAAATAATTCTGAAATTGATAATCTGTTTATTTTTGTTATAAATTTCGTTGACTGTTTAATATTAGATATTTTGAATTTTCGTATTCTCTAAATAATATACTTGCCTCTGTTCTTCTCTTGATTCTTGCGGTATCCCGCGAAGAACTGCAATGGCTCCGGAAATTCTTTGTATAAATGACATCCTTAAATTGCGAAAATAATTTTCTTTTCGATATTAGTCGATAGAATTGTAAAATGGTCTCTCCCTAAGATAGAGAAGTAGCAGAAAATTATCTTGATAAGTCATCCTTCCGTCTGTTAATTCAAAATATCAGCATTGGACTTTGACATGACAAAATCTATTATTATGGCAAAAAATTGTAACATTTTTAATCTTAAAGTGTAAATCGAAGAGTAATATTATTAATATTGTAACTAAAAAACTTGAAGTTAAGTTACTAAATTTGTGTTTTGTAAAGTGAAATTCTATAAATAATTAAAAAATAAAGGAAGAAAAAAACTATAATTAAGTAATGTCATATCTTGTTTATATATTTTGTAATAAGATAATTTACAATTTAAAGTTTAGACCGCTGAAATCGGCACATTGAATTATTAACTATAAAACTTAAGATTAATATAATTCCTCCAATCCCTTAAGAAATACTTATTATTTTTATTTAGATACAAATACATTCGATACAGATAGAGCCAAAGTTTTAATATAATTGTAAAACTACATTTTTGGTTTGTTGTTAAATATATATTCTTTCTCTTTTTTATAAATTTATATATTCTCATCCTGCAAAATGCACGTCGCCCTTCAAATAATGCCTCCATACACTTCATTTTGCAATTAAACAAAAATTAAATTAAATTAAATTCACAGGTTTATTGTATGATTTATTTTTTATTATGACTTACATGGACCAACGGTCCTAGACTATGTGCGTATTACGCGCCTCCCCATCCACGAAAATCACGGTGGATTGCGTTCCCTTTCTGTACTTTCCGCGTACAACGCAAAGTATTTGAATATAATGTTCATCATTTGATGAATTTATCGCTTTCGTCGAGCTCATTTGTATATTTCTACATCAAACATTTATTACAACGAAAATATAATTTTATTTCATATATGCAAATTTTTTTATTGAAAAATGATTTTATTTTTACTTACGAAAGAATTCAAATTTGCTATACTTTGCAATATAAATACGTTATATTATTTATTGTTTTAGCAAATTTTTGGCCTATAATTCTATAAATGGCGTCTGATTTATTTATTGATTAATAGCTTGTATTTTTTTTTTTTTAATTATCCAAACCGAGCTACTTATCGATTTATAAAAATATTGGAATTTAATTTACTACGTATAAAAATTATAATTAAATATGCATATAATAACTATGTAAATAAATTGAAATAAATCAAAATAAAGTAAAGGTATTATTGGATTTACTTTACAAGTATAGATTTGTAATTTTAATTTATGATTAATTACAGTTTGTGTTCTTATAAAAGCAAATTAAACAAAAATAAGAATTTTTTTTATTCTGATATTGCAAAATTTAATGTAGATTCTTATTTATACCTTCACTTTAACTAATCCGATCCCAAAATAAACTAAATAATTTTAACAATATATTAATTTATAGTATATGTTAGTTAGATTTTGAGGATTAATTTTTAAATTCGAATAAAAATTTTTTACTTCAGAGAAATAATATATTTGCTATAAGCTTTATTATACTAATAATATATGTTTTACACAAATGCGATAAAATGTCATCATGTTACATTCATTATACTATTTATAATATAGAATTATTAAAAAAAAATGTTGTTTAGCATCATTAGACTGCATAGATTAAATATTTCTATTGGCAGTTAATTGAATCGAATCTGATCCGTGCAGTGAAGTGAGACAAATTGTATCCTACACAATGAGCTTAAATATTATTATTTTAATACAGTCGAAAACTTGTTTTCCTTATACGTACCCTAGTCAAAATGCAATCAAACTTTCGCACTTTATATATTTAATGGATCAAAGTACACTCGTAATTAACAATTAATTAAAAATTAAAGTGTCCGTTATGACGACATCCTCCGATTGGTTTCGTACAAATGATCGATATATACATACTTATAATAAATAGCGTGCGATTAGTGCTGTGCGACCAGCCGCGTACTCTACTCGTTGATGAATGACTGCTTCCTGACTCCATTCGCGTTCAAAGGGCCCCTTTGGCCTCGTAACCTTGTTTTTTTTTATTTTCTCCGTGCAGCAACACGTCCAATCGCCCAACAAATTAATACATTGCTTGCTGCTTACGCGCAATATTTGCATGCACATATGTACACGCGTGCTAAACTGTAGCTCGAGGGATCCGTAAGATGTGTTATAAATGTAAACTTGACAAAATTAACAAAATCTATAAGGCTTTCAAGGACAATATTGCTTCGTTGATACTAAATTTAGAAGGAATTCCTCGTCACGCAATAATGCTTCTTTCCGTTAAATTTTATTTAAATTTATGCTTCGTTATTCATCGTAACAATTAACGCGTTAAAACTTTCCCGATTCGAAACTATCTTCGTAATCTCATAAGTACGTATTATACATGTTTATTTTTGTTGATTTTGCAAATTTTTATTAATTTCGAAATTATATTAATTTCGAAATAATAAAATTAATCCTTTATTTATTTTATAATTAAATTCCATGAAAGCAAAGGGATATGTTTTTAATTTTCTTACTATTCGTTGATACTTTGAATACGAATAATTTTATCATAGTACAATAAAATTCTATTTTTGAATGTAAATTATTATTGTACTTGTACTTTTTTTATTATTTTGTGTACGGAAATTCGTAAATTTATTACATTATTACATTATTATACCATAATAATAATAATAATAATAATAATAATAATAATATTATTATTATTATTATTATTATTATTATTATTATTATTGTTATTATTATCATCATCATCATCATCATTATTATTAACAATATTATTCATTTTATATGTTATCGTCATTATTCATATAACAAATTTTGTTATTGCTATTTGTTAACTGTTCATTGCATGATTTATGATCATAATGGAATAAAGTTTTATGATCCAGGAGAGGCAGATGCACGCATTTAATTGTGTACACATTGATATTTTTACAAAATATATGTCGAGTGCGTATAAACATTACGTTTTAATGAAAACCGTTTATATTGAATTAAAATTTATGCAGACTTTTATGTCAAGTATCTTGATCATTTACAGTTTAACGACTGATTTTTCAATATCTTTAAATACTTTTCTTATGAATTTTTGTATATTATTGTAAATTCTGGAAGCATTTTGTTATTTGTACATTACGATAGTATATTTCCTGTTAAAATAAGATGTATGAAATTTTTGTAGTCGAATGAATGTGTTAAGCCGATATTACGATGATTAAATAATGTGTAAAATTTGTAACGTTTGTAAAATTTTTTAATTCAAACTACAAAATTCGTACCATTACGATTCCAAATGAAATTTATTCTTTACGATCGTAAATTATCATAAGTTTCCGTTTGAATGTTACGCGCTTTCTTCGAGTTATAAACAACAACAGAAACAACAAAAATAATAGTATTTTCCATCTTTTTCTTATTTTCTTCATAACTATTATTATTATTATGATTATTATTATTATAACTCTTATTAATCTTAATATTAGTACTTAGGAGAAACAGCTTGGGTGTGAATGTAATCTTTCAATCGTATTAATTAAATTTTAACTAACCAATTTTATTATAGCTAACATGCATCTAAACATTAAGTCTTCAAATAAATTAGACGTCTTGAATATTATTTGGGAGTTGCTATTAAAATCGCCATATCAAAAAGCGTGTGGTTGCAACATGCGTGTGCACGCACGCGCGGGTATATTTGTTCGTTTAGATGCGCGCCTACGAAGCCCAACGAAAGCGCTTTGCTAATGCGCATGCTCGAGAACGGTGTTCAATACCGTATTTATGGTAGCGAGATTAATCGTACATTGTATGTCGAATTAGTCTCGTCTATGCTTCGATACGTTATTTAAAAAATTTGGAAAACTGAATCTTGCATTTATTTGAATAGCTGTTAAAGGTATAATATTCATAATAATAATTTACAAAATGTATATAATATCTTTAAAATGCATATAGAAACTTATGAAATACTGTAATAATTAGTAATGTAAGTAGTTATATTTTTTTAAATATTCTTGTATAGTTATATTTTTTTGTTTATTTTTGAGATATTTGATAAAAAGTAAGTCTTGCAAATAATATTTTACTACAATTACAGCTCAATAATGATGCGCAATACTTTACGATTATTACTGTTATATACGTTAATATTATTTGTATAGGTTATGGAGGTGTAATGAGAGATTATTCTTAAAATTGCAAATTGCCGTTGCAAAAATGGCTGGATCTATCGAAATCCCATTAAGGGACACCGACGAGGTAAATTTTTATAATGTAAAATGTGTATATATTAAAATATTTTGCTTTTATCGTAGCGGCATGTGTTATAAATTTTCTTATTTGGTTTGAGTTATGTACGTGATACTAACCTTAAAATACAATAACCCATTTTTATGTTTATATTTGCCATAGTATATGAAAGAATCTGCAAAGCTAAGAAAAAACTACAAAGCTTATTCAGTAATTTGTGTAATTTGATATAAAATTACATTTTTACTCTCATAATTTAGAAATTTTAGTATCGAGAGACTAGACGCACTCTTTAATATTATTTTTTCAATTGGAATGATATTATTTTTTTTTAAATTCTTATTAATTCAGCTATTAATTAAAAATTTATTTATTATCTAACAAAGATTGATTTTATTACTGATTTGTACCAAAAACTACAATAAAAGAAACATCTATGATTTCTGTTAAATGGACTTCTAATTTTTGTTTAATAAAATATATATTGGTTCAAGTAATTCCCTCCATACATAAATGTGTAAAATTAATGAATAAACATGTGTTTTTAATAAGTTATGTAAAGGTTTTGCTATCCATATGAGAATTATCAAATAGCGATTAGAATATTATCAGCCTATTTTAAAACATATATTTATAAAAGATTATTAAGCTTATATATATATATTTTAATAAATAAGCTTACATCTCTAATTGGAAGTTTATTTGATTTTAAATTGATATTGATTTTTGTAG